GCAGAGCCCTGTGGACAGTGTCCTCACTAGGGTCTCTGGGTCCACAGAGTCTCAGTGGTCACTGTACCCCTTGTCCATGTGCCCTGATCAGGAGTCGGGGGGGGGACAGGATGTGTGCCCCACTTCCCAGCAGCCTTATCAGAAACTGCACTAGCCCTGCCCCTGCTTCCTCAGGAAGCACCCCCCCCCACCGCCCAACACGCACACATGCAAGCGCGCGCACACACACGACTGGCCTGTGTGATGGATCACTTGCAGCCCCAGAGCCCTGTTTCCTGTGCTGGCCCCAGCACCAGCATGGGCAGGGGAGTGGGGGTGGTGGGGTGGGGGGAGTTGCTGAGACTCTGGGCCCAGAGCCCACCTTCCATCCCAACCCCCCACTCCTGCTTCCTGCCTCCCAACCATTCCAGCTCCTCTCAGCAAGGAAAGGGGCAGTTGGCCATTCCAGCTCCTCTCAGCAAGGAAAGGGGCACTTGGCTGCTTGGGGAGGAAAGGGGCATGGGGCGAGGTGGGAGAGACAACAGCTTCCCTTTCTACCCCATCTAGTTCCGACACCTGACATGGACCCGCTGGGACCGCCTGAAGGTGCCTGCTGGGCAGCCTGAGGTGACTGTGAAGTCCCTCCTAGCCTCTCTCCAGGTATGTTTCTTCCCTGCCTGTCCTCAGGCCCAGCCAGCCCTGGCCCTGCCCAACAGGCATTTGCGTTCTGTCTTGTCAGGAGCGCTATGGGCTGCAGGTGAGCATGCTACTGTATGGCCCGGCCATGCTCTACTCAGTGAGATCGTCTGCTGACTGGCAGAACCGCACGTGAGTCCACACCTGCCTCCAGGCAGACGCCCTCACCATCCCTGGAGGCTAGGGATAAGGGACACGAGACCCGGCTTCCAGCCCCCCCACCCACGTTCCGTTCTGTGAGGGCCCCTCACACCTTCCTGAAACTGGCTTTTGCCAAATGGAGCCAGCAAATGGGCTGGGGGCGGGGCAGGGCCGCCTGCTGGGCCAGCCCCACGAGCCCCCCACTCTGTGCAGCCCCCTTCCCGGGGCCCACTCCCAGGGGGCCTGCGGCTTCCTGCCTCCTGCCCCCACCCCACCAGCCACTCCTAAAATAGTTTCAGATGTTTCCTGTCTTGAGCTGATCCAGCTCCTGGCTTGGGCGTCTAATGGCTCCACCAGCACCTTCTAGCAGCTCGTGCCAGGTCACTGGCTCCCTGTCTACTTGCCATTGTTCATTCACCCACTCTCCTTGACACGCCACCCCTCCCCACAGAGTGACGGAGCTGGTGCATCAGGTGACAGGCCAGGTGCCTGAGCAGCAGGTGCTGGTGCTGGAGCTGTCCTGTGAGGGTGAGGAGGAGGACACGGCTTTCCCACCCCTGCACTACGAGCGGTGACAAGGCAGCAGCCCCAATCGATGACTACCAAGCCCACAGCAAAATAGCCCTGCACAGGCGTTCAATAAAAGCTCATGGAAGGCCCGGTGGAGTGGACAGATGTTGGAACACATGGGCACGGCACGGGCATGGCAGGGAGCTCCCCCTGGAGGGACGATGTTCTCTGCCTTCTCTGGATCGCACCGCAACTGAGGCGGTTTCCGGTAGCCCCAGGGAGATGGAGCCGGACAGTCCAGAGAAAGGCCTTTATTGTCCCCAGGCTGGAGGGCAGGGTCAGAGGTAGCCGATGACATCATTGCAGATGATGGGCTGGCGGCTGCGGCAGCTCATCAGGGCAGCAAAGCGGGAGGCATCTGCAGACAGTTCCGGTTCCGGGCGAGGTGGACATGACAGCCGCTTTCCCGCCATGGCAGCCCGCCGGGCCCCAGCCAGTCCTCGCCGCAGCTGCTCAGAGAGGCCAAGCAGGAATTGTGGGGGCCGGGGACGGGCACGGGGCCCACCCCCGGCACCCGCCTCACTAGTCGCCTCTGGCAGCTCCATCCAGTTATGCACGAGGTCGGCAAAGCAGTTGTCCCCTAGCACCAGCGGCTGGCGGCTCCGGCCCCTGCTCAGCAGGGCCGCAGTCCAATCATCTGCATCCAGGCCCCGCCAGTGCTCAAGGCAGGCGTCCGGAGTGGATTTGGGCCTCGGTCGTTGGGCGGGCGGTGCACTGGCCAAAGAAGCTCTGCTTGGCAAGGGAAGGCCGTGGGCTGAGAGTCGCTGGCTGGGGGCGGCCCGAGCTCGGGGTACTGGGCGCTGGAGTAAGGACAGCTCTTCCTCTGGCCAGGTGCTCCCCGATACCTCTGAGAAGCCAGAGTCCCAGTCTAGGGTGTGCTCCCTGGGTCCCCCCAAGGCTGCGCCCCTGTCCCCAGTCATCACAGTTTCCTCCTCCTCCTCTTCCACGCAGCAGGCGGAGTCCTCTTCCGAGGCATCTGAGGCCCTGAGTTGGTGGCCGGGTCTCACAGCTGGGCCAGGCTTGGAGGCTGGACGCACGGAACCCGGCATCTGGGGTGAGCCCGTGTCCCGGCCACACAGCTGCAGGGTAAGAGAGGGCACAAATTGGAGCGGCGGCACTTCATAGCCCTGCCTGTCTGGCGGAGCCAGCTCAAGACCAGCTGGGTCATGGAGGCCTGGGTGACACCACTGCTTTAGGGGCACAGGGCCGGTGTTGGGGCGCTGGCACACTGAGACATGTGGCTTCCATCTGCCGACCTGGTGGCGGTCTGGCAGGCTGCAGCACGCAGGGCTGGGCATGTCAGCACCCGCCACGAAGGAGGGCAGGCAGGGGTGCGGGCCTGCACAGGGAAGTAGAGCCTACCCACGGCTAGGGTGGGGGGGCATCCGGTACCCCTTGGGGGATTCAACTCAAGACTGCAGCTTCTTCCAGAGATGAGTATAGGGCTGGCCAGGGAGGGGTGTGGAAAGGAAGGGCAGGCCAGCCTGGGGGAGTGGGAGTCCACGGGCAGTGCTAGTGCCTCTACAGAACCTCTCACTTCCTGCCTGACCCCCCAAAAGGAGTCACTGCCCCTGGTAGTCCCTGCTGCACCGCCAGCTGGGCGGCTGTTACCTGATGCCCAGAGTAGCTCACAACCACCAGAAATCCGACGCAGGGCCATCTGGGCCATCTGCGCCGCCACGCTCCCACCCCACCCCCCACCCCATGGGCACTCAGGACAACTCCCACCCGTTCGCGTTCGGGGCGGGCGGCAGCCGAGCACCCTACACCAGCCCCACGAGCTACACCCGCGCCCAAGCCTCACCAGTTCCCAGCGGAGCTGGCCCAGGAAGCTGTCAAGTCGAGTGCCGTGCATCCCCGGGCCGGAGTCCTCGCCGGCCCGCGCCTCCTTC